TGGGATTCAGAGGGTGGGTGGGTGTTCTACGAAAACTTTGAATACCGCTATACTTAAAAATTGCTCGATCCAGCTGCTAAACCCTAAACCCTAAACCCTAAACCCTAAACCCTAAAAACCTTAAAAACCCTAAAAACCGTAAACAAAAACCCTAAACCCTAAAAACCTTAAAACCCTTAAAAACCCTAAAAACCCTAAACAAAAGCCCTAAACCCTAGGTCTTCGGCAGCGCGGAAGCACCGGTGAACTTGGACCTGACGACCAGCTCCAGGAGCCGATCACGGTTTAGGGTTTAGGGTTTAGGGTTTAGGGTTTAGGGTTTAGGGTTTAGGGAATTTTAAGGTTTTTTAAGGGTTCTTTTAGGGTTTCTTTAGGGTTTTATTGGGCTTGTTTTAAGGGGGTTCTTAAGTGTTTTTAGGCGGTTGTTAGGGGTTTTTAGGGTTTAGGGTTTAGGGGTTTAGGTTTTTAGGGTTTTTTTAGGGGTTCATAAGTGTTTTTAGGGGGTTGTTAGGGGTTTTTAGGGTTTAGGGGTTTAGGGTTTCAGGGTTTTTAGGGGTTTTTGTTTTTAGGGGTTTTTAGGGGTTTAGGGGTTTTTAGGGGTTTAGGGGTTCGGGGTTAGGGGTTTGGGGGTCTTTAGGGGTTTAGGGTTTCAGGTTTTTAGGGGGTTTGGGGGCTGTGGGGTTTAGGGTTTTAGGGGTTTGGAGTTATAGGGTTTAGGGTTTATAGGGTTTTGGGTTTAGGGTTTGGGGTTTTGGGTTTACGGGGGGTCCGAAAACCGATCAGCTGAAGAGTTTAAGTTTACAGTAGAAGCCATAAAGTTGGAACATCATGATCCCCATGCCCTTAAGCTAACATATAAGGGATCCTCGCACAAATCATCCTAACTCCATGTGCCACAATTTTGGGCTTTAGGGTATTATGTTTGGGGTTCAGGACTTACTGGCATCCCCACTTTTTGTCTGGTTTGTTTAGGGTTTAGGGTTTAGGGCTCTCCCGGTAATCATCATAGCAGCTGCAGTACATTTGCTTTGGTTTAGTTTATTCAGCAGTGGTGGTGTTGGTACCTTTTGGGTTGGCATATTTTTGTCTCATCATTGAAGTTTCTGTTGTCTGTTTCATTGGTTTACCGTGACTGGTATCCGGGGGTCGGCCTGAATTCTGTCTTGGGGTTTTGGTCGCTCTTTCTCCGCATCTCTCTCTCTCTCTCTTCTGTTCCTCCTCGGGCACTGCCGCAGCCCAGACCCTAAACCCTAAACCCAAA